CCGTTAGCGCCAGCAGCCTCAGTAGCACCCCCCAGCCCAGCAGCTCCAGTACCGCCAGTATGAGCAACTCCAGGACCAGTGGCTCCAGTAACTCCAGTGCTGACCCTAGGATTAGCAGTAACAGCAGCACCTCCAGCTCCAGCAGCATGGCTCCAACGGCGAGCAAACCACTCGCGCAGCACCTATGGAGAGAGTAGCTCCCGCCTCGACGAAGCACCCGAAGGGGCCCCAAACCCAGCACCGCCAGAGGCCACACGAGTAGACCCAGCACCCCCAGGCTCCGCACCCCTAGGCTCAGCACCCCCAGGCTCCGTATCCCCAGGCTCCACACCCCCAGACTCAGCACCCTCAGGCTCAGCACCCCCAGACTCAGCACCCCTAGCAGTACAAGAGTCAACAGCTACCTCGGTTGGCTCGACTGCGTCTACCTGGGACAGACCTGACGGGGCAGGACCCTGAGGGGGGACGAGGTCTACCGGGGGGGGACCTGGCGCAAGGTAGAGCGACGGCGGGGGGAGGGGTGCACTGCGGTAGGGGAAGAGACGGTAGTAAGGAACCGACTAGTCAAACGGAACGTCCTGGGAGGACAGAACACGGCGCCAGGTGGGGTGGTAAAACTGCCAACCAGGAGCGTCAGGGGGGAGGCCAAGGAAGATGAAGGGAAAAGCACGGGGGGACAGCTTGTCCGCAGACAAGTTGCGGACAAACGCCCGAGATCCCCAGACACGAAACGCAGACGCATCGCCAGCCTTCCCCGTCCACCGCAAGGTGGGGGAGGTCTCCGGCAAAGAGACCCGGGGCTGAAGGTTATTCTGATGCGCTGTGTACCGAACCGCAAACGGCCACAGAAAATGGGGGGCAGCCGCATGCATCATGGACGTACGAGCGACGTCCATGACCATGCCAATGCGGCGCTCAGCAATCCCATTCTGCTGTGGAGAGGCTGGAAGCGTGAAGGTCTGGCGGATGCCCTGTGCACGATAGAAGGCTCCAAGAAGGGCAGAGGAAAACTCCCCGCCTCTGTCAGAGTGCAGACGCAGAACAGGAAAGTCCGAGCCGAATTCTCTCTGAGCTAGAGACGAGCCGCGCAGATCTAGTCGATCAACACCTCAGTCACGTCACCCTTGCTGCGCAAGGGGAACACCGTGGTGTAACGCGAGTAGTCGTCAACTACCAATAGGAAGTAACGCTCGTGACCTTGGCCACAGACGCGGGCGGGGCCCCACACGTCCATGTGAAGAGTCTGCAGCGGAGCCTCTCTCGGAGGAAAGTCGGAGGAGTGAGGGGCGGCGCGTTTCCGCCCCTCGACGCAAGGAACGCAGGTAGGGGCAAGCCTCGGAGGGAGGGGAGGGAGGAACCGGGGGAGACCAGAGACAAGGACACGGGAGGCCATGCCTCGGAGACGAGGCAGGGAGGGGTGACCAAGGCGGTGGTGCCAGAGGAGAGTCTGGTGGGACAGGAGACGACACGACCAGGGAGCAGACTCAGGACCAGACCTGGACGCTGCAGCAAACACCTAACTCGACGCAGCTACCTGACCAGACTCGGCAACCGGAGGAGACTCAGTATTCAGTGTGTACAGGCTTGACTCCGGCCGACGGGTAAACGTGGCCAAGTGTCGGCCCGTCCGACCACACATACAGTGGGTCATCCTCTGACTCGCAAGAGTGAACTGGTCAACCCCCCCATCCTGTAGGTCAGCACCACTCACCAAGTTTGTAGAGAACGAGGGGAGGTAGAGACCTGATAGGGTGCCAGAGGGGGCTGCCGAACACGGTAAGACAGTGGAGAAGTGAGCAAGGACAGGACCCCTAGAGGGGTCAGCCTGGGAGACCGCAACCGGCCGACTAAGCGGCGTAAGAGTGGTGCGGTCTCGAAAGAAGGAGCGGGAAGCACCCGAGTCAAGAATGAAGGTGTGTAAGGCCTGAGCCGACGTGGTACCTGAGAGAGCAGACTCACCAGCACCTAGGGCAGCAGACGCTCTATCACCTAGAGTAGCAGCCCCACCAGCACCTAGAGCAGCAGCCTCAATGCCTGGGTCAGGCGGAACACACAGGTAACACTTACCCTCATCACTTTCAGACACAGCATATATGGCAGCAAGAATAGCATCAGAGTTAAGCTGAAAGATAGCAACCTCCGCCCTAGACAGCTCTCCCCAGCGAGGGATCTCAGTGGCGTCAGGGAACTGGTGACGCCAAGCGTCTGTCAGGCGGCCGAAGCAGCGCTTGGTGGAGTGCGGGCCCCCGCACTGCTCACCAGCACGGTCGCCGGTGCGGAGGACGTAGGTACAAGGAACAGTACCCCCACCTCGCTGACGCCCAGCGTACCACTCACGAAGCTGCTGAGGGGACGGGGTCTCACGAGTGCGCTGCTGCAGCTGGCGCGGACCACCACCGGAGCCACTCCTCTGCGCAGAGCCGCGACCAGCTCCACCGCTGCCGCCGCCGCCTCCGCCACCTCTGCCGCCTCCGCTCCCACCGCCGCTCCCATCACCACCGCCGCCGCCGCCTCTGCCACCACCGCCGCCACCGAAGCCCCCACCCCCGCCACCACTCCCACCACCACCCCCACTCCCTCCGCTTCCTCCACCGCCACCTCCACTGCCCCCACCAGCCCCTCCAGCGCCCTTGCCCCCCTTGCCCTTGCCGGTGCGGCGTCGCCCGCTAGGGGCAGACGCAGCGCCGACCGAGTCGGTGCCAACGAAGTCGACGGCAGCAGCAGAGGCAATAAAGGGCAAAAGGGGGGAGGGGGAGCACCCCTCAAAGACAAGGGCACCAGGGTCACCTCGAGAGGCTCCTACAGCGACTACACTCTTCTCAGCTGCCAGGAGGCGCTCCTTGAGGAGGTTTACAGTGAGTGTGGTGGGGCAAACAAAGAGGATGTGGTCCCTAACCGAGCGAAGGGAGTGAGGGAGCCGGGTGACTATGTATTAGAGGGTGATGTACATGGGGGGGGGGGGGGGGGGGGGGTTCTTAGCGCAGAACTCAGCACGAAGAGCAGCGAGTAGCGGGTGTCACTAGTGCAAAGGTGCGTGACGAGGTCAGCGACAGTGGGAAAGGCGGTGAGGTTAGGAAACAGGTACGGCAGCATGAGGCGGCTAAGGGCAGCAGTGGCAGGGGAAGAGTAGCGTGCAACTACAGCGTCGTACAAGGTCTTAGCACTCTTGTACTGACTAAAGTGCGCACGCTCTGTGGTCGGTAAGTGGCAACGCACAGCAAGATGGGCAGCAGCATCGCGTGTGGCCCACTGTGAGCGAACAATGCTGTCAGCAGCAGAAGGCGGGGTAGGAGAGGCACCAGAGGTGAGATCGAACAGGGAGAGTCCGTCTGCCCTATCGCACTGTAGGAAGAGCTGTAGGTCATCGACCCAGACCTCGAAGTCAACAGCACGACCCTCAGCATCAAAGGTAAGGACACTGGGGGTAGTTACGACAGCAGTGGTCTAGCAGGGAGTTCTCTCACCGGTCTGGGTGGGTAGGGCCGGGGCTCGCCGGTAGGAATAGGGCTGCAACTGTGGTGGCAGCGGCTCGACGGCGGCTTGGCGGCAGCGGCTCGGTAGCGGCGGCTCGACGGCGGCCTCGGCGGCTCGGCTGCTTGGCGGCACGGCGGCCTGGCGGCTCGGCGGCTCGGCGGCTCGGCTGCTTGGCGGCTCAGCTGCTTGGCGGCTCGGCGGCTCGGCGGGTCGGCGGTTCGGCTGCTCGGCGGTGAAGGGGCGAGGGAAGGGGCTGAAAGGGGCGGCGACGGGGCCGCAAGGGGCAGCGATGGGGCCGAGAAGAGGCCGCGAGGGGCCGTTAAGGGTGGCGACGGGGCCGCTAGAGGCGGCGACGGGGCCGCGAAGGGCGGCGACGGGGCCGATAGGGGCGGCGACGAGGCCGCTAGGGGCGGCGACGGGGCCGCAAAGGGGCCGCGATGGGCCGGGTTGGGCGGCAACGGGGCCACTGGGGGCGGCGAAGGGGCCGTGAAGGGGCCGCGTGGGGCCTAGAGGGGCGGCGACGGGGCCGCAAAGGATGGCAACGGGGCCGTATAGGGTGGCGACGGGGTCGCTAGGGGTGGCAACGGGGCCGCTAAGGGTGGCGCGAGGGGCCTCTAGGAGGGCGCGACAGGCCGCTAAGGGCAGGGGACACGACGAGAGGGCGGCCCACGGGGCGCGCCTCGGGCAGTGGTGACTCGCGCTTTGGTCAGGAAAAAAAAAACTCGATTTCAGTGGTGGGCCCTAAGAAGCGTTCCCACTAGGGAACGTGCTCTATACCATGTGAAGAAATGAGGAATGAATGAACTAGCAAGCATGTGGGTACATGTAGGAAAACCTAAAAGTGTTGTACCCCATATTGTCTACCCCACTATAACCTACACAGACTATAGCATATGAGTTTGACAGGGGGAAACCAAGGAAGATGCAGGGAACAGCAGGGGAGGAAAGCTTGTCCGCAGAGAAGTCATAGACGAAAGCCCGAGATCCCCAGACACGGAACGCAAACGCATCGCCAACCTTCCCCGTCCACCACAGAGTAGGTATGGTCTCCGGGAAGGAGACACGAGGCTGAAGGTTGATCTGATGCGCAGCATACTGAACCGCGAACTGCTACAGAAAATGGGGAGTAGCCGCATGGATCATGGACGTACGAGCGACGTCCATGACCATGCCAATGCAGCACTGAGCAATCCCATTTTGCTACGGAGAGGCCGGAAGCCTGAACGTCTAGCGGATGCCCTGCGCACGACAGAAGGCTCGCAGAAGGTCGGAGGAAAACTCTCCATCTCTGTCGGAGTGCATACGCAAAACACGAAGGTCCGAGCCGAAACTCTCGCTGAGCGGACGATAGGCAGCGCGGATCCAGTTGATCAGCACCTCAGTTACCTTACCCTTGCAACGCAAGGGGAAGACTGTGGTGTAACGCGAGTAGTCGTCAACGACCAGCAGAAAGTAGCTCTCGTGACCCTGGCCACGGACGCGGGCTGGGCCCCACACGTCCATGTGAAGCGTCTGCAGGGGAGCCTTCATCGGAGAGAACTCGGAGGAGTGAGGAGCGGCGCGTTGCCGCCCCTCGACGCAAGGAACGCAGGTAGGGGCAGGCCCCGGGGGAAGGGGAGGGAGAGACCTGGGAAGACCAGTGACAAGGACACGGGAGGCCATGCCTGGAAGACGAGGCAGGGAGGGGTGACCAAGGCGGTGGTGCCAGAGGAGAGTCTGGTGAGACACGAGCAGGGGGCAGACTCAGGACCAGACCGGGACGCCGCAGCAAACACCTTACCCAACACAGCTACCTGACCAGACTCAGCAACCGGAGGAGACACGGTAGTCATGGTGTACAGGCTGACGGGTGAACATGGCCATGTGCCGGCCCGTCCAAGTACACGAACAGTGGGTCACCCGCTGACCTCCAGGAGTGAAGTGGTCAACCCACGCGTCCTAAAGGTCAGCTCCACTCACCAAGTTTGTGGAGAACGAGGGGAGGTGGAGGCCAGATAGAGAGCCAGACGGGACCGCCGGACATGGAAGAACCGTGGAGGAGTGTGCAAGGACCGGACCCCTAGAGGGGTCAGCCAGAGAGACTGAGATCGGCCGACTGAGTGGCGTGATTGTGGTGCAGTTGCGAAAGAAGGAGCGAGAAGCTCCTGAGTGAAGCGTGAAGGTGTGCAAGGCCGCAGCAGGCGCAATACCAGAGAAAGCAGACTCACCAGCACCTGGAGCAGTAGACTTACTAGCGCCTATAGCAGCAGCCTTGCCGGCACCTGGAGCGGGAGACGCACCAGCACCTAGAGCAGCAGCCTCACCAACACCTAGAGCAGCAGACTCTATACCTGAGTTAGGTGGCACACACAGGTAACAGGCACCCTCAGCACTAGTACGCAATGCATACATGGCAGTGAGGATAGCATCATAGTCAAGAGCAAAGATATCTACCCTCTGCCTATGCAGCTCCACCCAGTCGGGGAGCTCAGCCGCATCGCCAAACTCGGCACGCCAGGCGTCGCTCAGACGGGAGAAGCAGCGGGACTCCGTGTGACCAATTGTCGAGCAAGGCTTACCAGCCGGAGTACTAGTGCGAATGACGTACGGGCAGCGAGCAGTACTCTGTGACCCTCCACTCTTAGCGTACCACTCACGAAGTTGCTGGGGCAAAAGGACCGCGCGCGGATGCTGCTGCGGCTGCACCTGGTCACTACAAGAAGCTCCCGAACGACCCGCTCCAGGGCGACTCCCACCACGGCCACCCGTACAACCCCAACTAGCGTACCACTCACGAAGCTGCTGGGGCATGAGGGACTCACGCGGACGTCCTTGGAGCTGCATCCGGCCATTGCCAAGAGCAGCAGTACCAGTAGTAGCCGCATTAGCAGCAGTAGCAGCAGTAACAGCAGTAGCAGCAGTAGCAACGCGGCCACCCCTACAACCCCAACTAGCGTACCACTCACAAAGCTGCTGGGGCGTGAGGGACTCACGCAGACGTCGCTGGAGCTGCATCTGGCCACCGCCAGGAGCAGCATTAGCAGTAGTAGTCGCAGTAGCAGCAGTAGCAGCAGTAACAGCAGTAGCAGCAGTAGCAGCGCGGCCACCCCTACAACCCCAACTAGCGTACCACTCACGTAGTTGCTGGGGCGTGAGGGACTCATGCAGACATCACTGGAGCTGCATCTGGCCACCGCCAGGAGCAGCAGTAGCAGGAGTAGCAGTAGCAGCAGTAGTAGCAGTAGAAACAGTAGTAGCAGCACGGGCAGGGCAGTATGGCAACGCGCTAGTAAGGCAGGCGCGCGGGAAGCGCGGGTAGGGCAAATGCTCACCAGTGGCAGGAAGGGCAGTCACTCGCCGGGCGAGCAGGGTAGGCGCATGACGGCGGCGACGGCGGGGCCGGGACAGCTGCAGGGCGGGGCCGTGACAGCGGCAGGGGGCTCCTCGGCAGCTGCTGCAGGGCGGGGCCACGACTGCTGTAGGCGGCTCTGTAGCAGCTGCAGCAGGGCGGGACCGCGACGGCGGCAGGGGGGCTCCGCGGCAGCTGCTGCAGGGCGGGGCCACGTCTGCTGCAGGTGGCTCCGCGGCAGCTGCTGTAGGGCGGGGCCGCTACGGCTGCAGGGGGCTCTGCGGCAGCTACTGCAAGGCAAGGCTCCAAGGCAGCTGCTGCAGGGGGGGGGGGGGGGGGGCGCCGCGACGAGCAGGGGCGACGCCCCGGGGGTGCCGCGACGAGTAGGGAAGGCGCCTCGGGGGCGCCGCGACGAGCAGGGAAGGCGCCCCGGGGGCGCCGCGACGAGTAGGGGCGATGCCCTGGGGGCGCCGCGATGAGCAGAGGCGACGCCCTGGGGGCGCCGCGACGAGTAGGGAAGGTGCCTCAGGGGCGCCGCGACAAGCAAGGAAGGCGCCCAGGGGGGCGCCGCGACGAGCAGGGGCGACGCCCCGGGGGCGTCGCGATGAGCAGGGACGGCGCACAGGGGGAGCCGCGACGAGCAGGGGCGACGCCTCGGGGGTGTCGCGATCAGCAGGGACGACGCCCAGGGGGCGCCGCGACGAGCAGGGGCGACGCCCCGGGGGCGTCGCGACGAACAGGGACGGCGCCCAGGGGGCGCCGTGACAAGCAGGGGCACCGCGACGAGCAGGGGCGACGCCCCGGGGGCGCCACGTCGAGCAGGGACGGCGCCCACGGGGCGCCGCGACGAGCAAGGGGGGGGGGGGGGGGGGCGCCGCGGGGGTCCCGCAAGGGCGTCGCGATGAGCACGGTTTAGGGCAGCGCGCGGGCTGCAGAGGCAGCTCCCACGGGCTGCCAAGGCAGGCACGGCTGCAGGGGCAGCGCTCACGGGCTGCAGAGGCAGTGCCCACGGGCTGCAGGGGCAGGCGCGGCTGCTGAGGCAGCGCCCACGGGCTGCAGGGGTCGGCACGGCTGTAGGGGCAGGCACAGCTGCTTGGGAGGGCGGCGAGCGGGCTGCAGGGGCAGCTCCCACGGGCTGCAGAGGCAGGCACGGCTGCAGGGGCAGGCACGGCTGCAGTGGCAGCACGGTCGCAGGGGCAGCACGCGGGCTGCAAGGGCAGCGCGGCCGCAGGGGCAGCTTGAAAAAAAAAATCGATTAGGGCAGGGCGGAACGTTCGGTGGGCCCTAGGAACGATTCTGCTCTAATACCATGTGAGGATAAGAACGATGAGTGATTGCATTCAGCAGCGTGAGGAGTACAAGTAGGAAACCCTAAAGTGTTGCACCCCATATGAACTAACCCACTACAGCCTACACAAACTATAGCATATAAGTGTGACATGCTAAACCCTAAATAAAATAAAAATAATTATTCAAAAAAGGCCCTAGGTGCTTCTGCCCTAGGAGCTATTACCTGCTACTGCCGTGCTCTTGCTGCACGCCGCCCTGCTCTGGCCGCGCGCCGCCCTGCTGCTCTTACTGTTGCTGTTGCTACTCGTGCTACTGCCTTCGCTCCGTACTGCCCTAGAGGTCGCGCTCCTCCTAGCTTGCCCGCCATGACTTCACTTTGTCGTACCGGTGGGAGTGGTGACGGCGGTGGTGGCAGCAGTGGGAGCAGTGGCGGCCGTAGTAGCAGTCACAGTGGCGCTGTTTAGTGCGGAGTGTCTGGCGGTGGCCAGATGCAGCTACGGCGGCGTCCAACCCTTACGCCCCAGCAGCTTCGTGAGTGGCTTTACCTGCGTGGGCTGTCTCCGAGTCCAGGTCGCTGCCCGTACGTCATTCGCACAGGTCGTCGAGCTGGTGAGACCTGTGAGACACCTGGTCACGCACAGTCCCACTGCTTCGCCTATTTGACTGATGCCTGGCGCACAGAGTTCGGCGACGAGGCTGAGATCCCCCCCTGGCTTGAGCTACTTAGGTAGGGCGTTGCTGTCTTTGCTTTAGACTATGTGTTATAGTTAAGAGTCCACTTAGAGGTCGCAGATGCCCATGAAACCGCCTAAGCAGAATCTGACGTCTTCAAACCGCCTCTGTTCAAAACGCCGTCACGATCAGCTCCAATAACACATGAGACTGAAACTTGAACAGCAGTTAGCCTTAAGTGTCTGCTTTTCAACGGTGTATTGCTTGCTTTCACCAGAGGTGTATGCACTACGCTGTGAACGAAAAAGTAAGCTCGGCTGAAAAACGTGTATTCTCATTGATGCAAGGAAGAGGTGAGGTACAACATTGCCTAAGGGACTCTTAAGGGGTTGGGATCATCCTGGAAACTCAGAGAAGGTTGAGTCCTAGGGGAGAAAGGCTAGAGAAGGATGGGAAACGTCCTAGCTAGGTCAGCAAAGCCAACCACTCATGGATGTTCAGAGTTGTACTCAAGGCAACCAATTGTGAGTTAAGCCAACCATGAGTCAGCTTGTCTTCACACTTGCACCCTCTTGCAAGCTCGTTCCAGGAAGACCACACTTCTCAAAAGGAGGGCTGTAGAGTCCCACTTGACCACCTGTACTTCTTGTCTCATTCTCTGTCCCTGCACCATTGGCATGACAACAATGAAAGGGTGGCAAGGGAAATGCTGCCAACAGTGCACCATGACTACGGAACAGTGCATTTCGGCAGCTGTCACGCAATGCTCAGATGTTTTATCGTTCTGAAACTTGGTGACTACTTGCATACCGGAGCAAAAAAATGCCAGACCGAATTTCAGACGAATCAGAGCTCGGTAGACGAGTTTGCAGCCGAAATGGTGAAGTCGGGTGTTACCAAAAAGGAGTAACACACACTTCCGGGATGCCATAAGTCTTGAAACATAAAATGTTGTCATGCCTTGGTAACTGCTTCAAAAACTCTGAAACTTTGAGGGTTTGAAGAACACATGCTGAACAACCTCCCCACAAAATTTCAGAAGCTGATCAGGCTTGTAGGCCGAATGGGAGTGCGATGACCGTGCCACTGTAATGTGTTGGCACAACACTAGGACTCCATCCTTACTGCCATATCTGCTTTGCCTGGTGGTGCTGAGCGTGACTGTCACATGTGCGTGCACTACGACCCCGGTATAGAGGTTGCTGCTCTAGGTGCTAGTGAGGCTGCTGCCTTAGGTGCTAGCGAGTCTACTTCCTCAGGTACTGCGCCTGCTAAGGCCTTGCACACCTTCACGCTTGACTCAGGTGCTTCCCGTTGTTTCTTTCATGACAGTACTGCACTCACACCACTCACTGCACCGGTTGCAATCACTCTGGCTGACCCCTCAGGGGGCCCAGTTCTTGCACGGTCCACCACTGTGCTTCCGCGCCCAGCGGTTCCGTCTGGCTCACTGACAGGCTTCCACCTCCCCTCGTTCTCTACGAACTTGGTGAGCAACGCAGTTCTCCATAACCAATTTGTACGTGCTCCCGAACTTGACACCTTTACCCCTAGAGGACAGTGTGTGGCAATTTGTACGTGCTCCCGGACTGGCCGTCACCTGGCCACGTTCACCCGTCGGCCAGGGTCGAGTCTTTACACACTGACGACTGTGTCTCCTCAGCTAGCTGCTGTCGGCCAGATGTTTGCGTCGGGTCTGGTAGCATCCCCCTGTGAGTGTCGCTCCCTGTTGCACCAGACTCTTCTCTGGCACCACCGTCTAGGTCACCCCTCCTTGCCCGGTCTACGTGGCATGCACCGTCGCCTCCTTGTGTCCGGTCTTCCCTGGTCTCTCCCTCCCCTCCCTGCCTCGCCTGCACCACCCTGCCTTCCTTGCGTCGAGGGGCGGCAGCGCGCCGCTCCTCACTCCTTGTTTCCCCCGACAGAGGCTCCTCTGCAGACCCTCCACCCGGACGTGTGGGGCCCAGCCCACGTTCATGGACAGGGCGGTGAGCGGTACTTTCTGCTGGTTGTCGAGGACTACTCGCAGACACCACTGTCTTCCCCTTGCGCACCAAGGGTGAGGTCATTGCTGTCCTGATCCCTTGGATCCGAGCAATTC